AAATTTGAATAAACTGATTTGTTTGGAAAAATACTTTGACAAAATCCTTACTTTGCAGTTTAATAATACCTTTAATTTAATTCTAAAGGACTTCATGGTAAAGAATATTTTTAATTTGATTTTGATTGCTCAATGTATGACTATTTTAGAGGGTGTAATAGATAGACAGGCTAACAGAGGTTACAGAATTTTATATATTATAATGATGAGAATTTATTGCACTAAACTATGCAGCCTAGTAAAATCAACTGTATTTTGTTTGCCCTTACCATTTTGCACTTCCCCCAAAAATTTGATTTTGATTGGTCAATATATGGCTATTTTAGAGGTTGTAACAGATGGATGGACTGACAAATGAAAGCCACAGAATTTTATATATAGAAGAGTGTGATATAAACAATGCTGATACTGGAAAATTATAATTTTCTCTAAAGGCTTTATTGTTTAAACTGATGTAGCATATGTAATTCTGCTTACATGAAAGGGACCTGGATTAATTACAGAGTAGCACTGCTGGAACTGAACAATGAATTAAGCAAACCAGAGTATAGGAAATGATTGATTAGGACTTACAAACTATTAATCAGTTCTCCCAAGTTACAACCATTGAAAACATTTCACAAGAGTTTTCAGTGGATAGTTGATATCTGTTGTCAGGAACCTTGACTATCAACCATGTTCCTTGACCATCCTTGTGTGGAGAAGAGTTTTTCAACTTTAGAATTTTTGACTGCAATAAAGTTAAATTGAGGAAGAATTGGAAAGGAATTTCAGTTTCAAACCTGACACCAAAGTTATTTTTAACTGTTATTTTTATGTGTTTTTTTTTTTTTAATTATTAATGCCATATTTCTTCAGGATGTAAGTAATTAGGTCTTTGCAAAGATTCCTTTTCTTTATCTCTGAATTACCATGACTTTTTGAGAAAGGTAGTGGAGTAGTTTTCTTTGATTCCTCCATGGCTTGAATTTCAGAGTTTTCCCTCTCTTAAACTGTTTGCCATCCAAGGCTAGAGAACCCAGTCTACCCTGCTATTTAACCACAGCTTCATGCTTTTTCCAAGATAATTATTTGTGAATGGCTATGTCTTAAGAAAGGTAGTGTAGTTTCCCCGTTTCTGATTTGTTTTCCTTCTCTTAAATTGGTTACCATCCAAGGCTAGAGATTCTAGCCTGCCGTCCTATTTAATCCATAGCTAGAAAATGGTATATATTTGTGCCTTTCCCAAGAATATTAATATGAGTAAATGAAACAGTTGGTTAGCATACCAATTCTACTTTCTTTGATGATAACCATAACACTATACAGATATTATCTCTAACAAAGTTAAGTAACCATTAAAACAGTGTAGCTTGTCTGTGAGGAAATTAATTGATTTTTTTGAAGTAGCTTAGGCCAAGAACTTTTTAATACTGCCTTCAGAAGCAAATTATGCAAAAATGAAAATAACACTGACATCTCATTTTAACAAGTATATTTATCAAAATAACACAAATTTCTTGAAATACTAGAGTAAATTTATTTGATAAAATCACCACTAGCCTCTAGACAACTTCAGAATCTCCTGCAACTCTTCTGCATGGTCTCCTTGTTTAAGTTGGTGAATGCTGCCATAATCCTTGCCTTCAGTTCATCTTTGGTGTTACAAGTAGTTTTGTTGGTCTCTTGCTGAACTGCACCCCACACATAATAATAAAGAGGGTTGCATTCTGGTGAGTTAGGTGGTCAGATGTAAGCGGTGATGTAGTTTCAGAAATTGTCTGAGAGCCATGACTGGGTTCTCCTGCTTGTGTGTTATCATGCAGAGTCCTGTTGCCAGACATAGATTCTTCCAGTAGCCACTCTCTTGACCCAGGGCAGCACTACCTCCTCAAGGCACTTGATGTCAGCCTCAGTCTGAGGCCCTTACCAATAAATTCTGAAGTTCTTTTCTTATCAGAATGATCAGAGTGAGTTTTCTGAGCTACCATAACATTGTCATCACCATTAGACTCATCCAACTCTTTCTGAATTTTCTGCACTGTCTTCAGATTGATACCCAAACATTCCGAAATATTCGTATTGGAGATTCTGGCATGAATGCCAAGTAGTTCGGCATGCCATTTCCAAATTTCCAGCTGAGTGAATTGTGTCATGTGCTCTTTTTCTCACAGCTGGTGCCCAAATGACCCTACTATACTGCGCAGTTGACAAAATATAAAGCAATGTGCATGCATGAAATTAAAAATATAAAATAGCAACAATTTACCCATTGCACCCTGTGTTTATAAGTCTGCAGCAAAGAGAGGGTCAGTTTACCCATTTTTTTTATTGTGAACTCTTTTCTTAGCATTGTGTGCTTACAGCTATATAATTAAAACACTGTTTCTCATGCAGATACCCCCTGGGAAAGGTATGAATTCACCTCTTCTCCCCCAGTTATGGGTAAATCATTATTATTTAAAAAAAAAAAAAATTCTCACAATCTAAAAATATTATCTGGCTTTAAATAACCTGCAAGTGGTTAATAAGCCATAACAACAAATCATTGGATCAATCTTGACATTGTGTAAGTGCCACAATATACAAGAAATATTTGTTGCAAAAACTTTTATTTTGTGATTGACTCAGTAGATAGATGAACTTTTTGAACTCAGATATTTGTTTTTTTAATCATTTCACTCCAAGAAAGTCAATAAAGCAATTAAAACAAAGGGGGATATTAAGTATGAAAGATACAAGACAATAAAAGAACAGTTTTCAAGAAGACAGATGATGACAATTGACATTGCATTTAAATTTTTGAAGATCAAAGTTGATTGGAAGACATGAAGGTAAAAGAGAGTTCCATATTTTTTTTTGCTAGAGAAAAACGGATGTAATGGAATACCTGTCACCCCATGAGTAACTACACTATAGGTAGTAACTTCCTATAATTATTGGTAAGTCAACGGACTATGGAGTCTAGCTGAGATCTGTTGAGACTTACAAGAGAACTACTAACCTTCCAATAGTAGCACTGACTACTGGATTGACTTGTGACCACCATGCTTATAACTGTTACCTTATTTCTTATTGTACTGGTTATTGCAATAAACCTTTACCTATTTTATCCACTGTGTGTGTCAAGTATATATTCCTATTTGCACGGAATATAACAAAAACAATAACAACAGCAACAAAATTGTATGAGCTTAGGTAAAAAATAGTTACTAAGACATTAGTTTTAGAAGTCCCCAAAATTATTAGACTCAATGTTCTCAAGGGCACAAGAGTTGTGAGTTCAATACCTGGCTACAGCTGAAGTTTAACAAAAACTTGGAGAGTTGAGTTAAAGGGAGATAACTGATACTGAGACATCCAGAAGAGGCATGACTTGTGGAACTAGAACAATCTACCCCAGTGGACAAAATAAAGAGTTCAGTTTGTAATTCCAATCACCTGACAAAAGCTGGAACATGCAATGGCCAAAATATTGTGAATATGGCAATGAAGATGAGGACAACAGTCGAAACAATGTAAAAAAATTATAGAAAATCTCAGAAATATAGTCAGATTTTCTTGTAATTTTTCATTCGATCTGGAGCTGGTGACATCATGAAGGGTTTAAAATATTTGGACATGGTTAAATGTGATTTGCTGAAATACTCAACAAACAAATTGACAAATTTTACAATAAACAAGAGAAAGAAAAGAACAAGGCAGAAAATATTATTAAGCAAACAATATATGCAAAATAAAAGTAGGCAAAGCAACAATAATAAAAAGTTCCCGAAATAAGAATGGTGTTAACACACAAAAGGAGATACAAAAAAGTTATTACAGCGTTCTCGATTCAAGAAAGAACAGAACTAAGTCAGATGAGACCAAGTGCCCTGTCTTATTGGCTAGGAAAAAATCCCAGCATTCATCTGTGTATTTTGCCTATAAATTTGAGAAGTGGGGTAGTTTTTTTGCAGTCATATCTACTGGAACCAACAAAGAATTTAAAAAGCAAATAAACCAAATGCTATAGATCTCCCATTAATGACTTCAATTGTGAGAAACTTTTCATGATTATTCTTTTACATTTTATCTTTTAAATTGTCATTGTAACATCATGAAGAGTTTTTTAAAAGCAAGCAAACCAAATGCTTCAATGCAATTGCTTCATTTACAATGCAAACAATTCCTGCTGATTGTACTTTGAAATACTTGTGAACTCAAGTCTTAAAGTACCTGTATTGGTATGCTCTATCTAATTTCTTAAAATTACATAAATCCTCACATTGGCAATTAGAAAACAAAAAGTAGTATTCACAAGATTACCTTTCAGAAAAACACAACAAAATCTTTTTCATGACAGTTTATTTTTAATAACATACTTGGTGCTTCAGATGAAGTCCCAAAAGGAGCAGGGTCAATTGAAAGCTGTGCATGGGCAAAAATATTCCTCCTACCTAACTGTCTGGGATATAGTTAATATATATAATTGTTGAAAATTGAAACCTTCATTTTTTATTTGTGTCCCCCGCTCAACCATTTATTCAAGAGTCAAAAGTATTAGTTATTATATTTTTTAGAATGTGTTTTTATTTTTGTATCGCACTCAAATATTCAAAAAAATTTTTAATCATTTTACCTCGAGCAAGGGAACAAAGCCACTAAGATGCAAGGGGTTTAATGAGTGTTGGGGAATATGAAAGGGAAAAAAACATTAAGGAGAGAGAACAGGAATTAAGAAGATAACGATTGACATTGCATTTCAATTTTTGAAAAATCAAAGTTGATCGAGAAGCAAGAATCTGGAAGAGAGTTTCACAAGTGAGAAGTCCCAGAGAAGAAGCTGTTTGTTTAGAACTTGGTTACATCTCGTCATTTCAACTCTAAAATTATAAGACCTTGCCTTCAATCTACTTAAATTTATAAAGTTGATGTGCTATAGAGGAAAGCGCACCAGAATAATTACAATGAAAGTAGTTATTTTTCTCTTTAGTAAATGTAAATATTTGACTTAAAATTTCCTTTTCTATCTTTTGTAGTCATTACCGGACAGCTTATTCATCTCAATGGATAATGATCTTGCACCATCATTACAGGTGAGAATGGACTCAATATCACCTGTAATCAGTCTGAATAGCCAACAACTACGAGAGAAAGAACAGCAACTTGGTATTTTGCCACCCTCGCCTGGCATTGCTTCTTCATCCACTTTGCATTCTGAAGTAAATACAGTCCTAACGTCACAGCAGGATGATTCTGCAAACTTGTCTGTATTTCCTCATATATCTCTCTGCAGTCCTGTAACATCTCTGGGAGATACAGTTGTTCAAAGGGTGTCAGTTCCTTTGGCTGCAGAGACCCCAGTTGCCCTTCCCCAGTCAGATGCTACTCATCTGCTGAACAAAATCTTAATGCAACCATCAAGCAGCCAAACCTTACCCCAGGCTCCATCAGAGAGTCTCAACCAACAGGCACAGCCTGTACAGCAACCGCAGCAACAACAAAGTGCCCTCCTTGCACCTACCCATACCCCTCAACCACAGCTGTTGTCAATAACCCAAAGGGACCCCTCAATAGCTAGTGGGCCAGTGCTTGCAATTGCACAACCCACTAGAGTACTGCATCAGGCAGGGCAAATTCTGCCTCAGACAACAATTGCAAATTCTCTTGGATTAGGGGCTTCTTCTGAGAGGGGTAGCAGTAGGGTGGTAACAATTGATGGGACGATCGATGACTCACCTACTTCTAATGATAGTGCTGGAAGCAGGTCATCACCTACAGGTGACCTATTTCAGGGTGGAGTAGTACCTGGCCGTAAAAGGCAGTCCTTCAACAAAACACCTTCATCTGGCCGGAACCAAGGCTTTGTCATACCTACAGTAAGTTTTCTTTTTTCATATATGGATGTATGTATGTATTACTGTGTTTTAATATATATGTAGGGATGTCCAAAAAGCAAGGTAGTTACTAATGTTATTTACATTATTGGAATGAGAACAATTTAGCCATGTACATTAAACAAAAACAATTGTTGGAAATTCCTGGTTGGTTACCCTGATGAAAACCAGAGAGTGCAACAGTTGAAACGTTGTGATAACCACAGTAACAAGACTGAGGACAATAGTTTTCATGTAAATAGTGTAAATAATAACTCCTCATCCTAGAACTTCATTCAAAAAACTATCAAATCAGTGTGTATCCAATGTGATACACCAATGGATAACAACAAAATATGACGAGAATAGAGAGTGAAAGAATATTCAGTTCAGAAATCCTTGTAGGTTACCCAGATACACCTAAGAAAGGCCAGAGGGCACAACGGCAAAGATGAGGAAGACATGAAGGTAAAAGAGAGTTCCATATTTTTGAAGCTAGAGAAAAACGGATGTAATGGAATACCTGTCACCCCCATGAGTAACTACACTATAGGTAGTAACTTCCTATAATTATTGGTAAGTCAACGGACTATGGAGTCTAGCTGAGATCTGTTGAGACTTACAAGAGAACTACTAACCTTCCAATAGTAGCACTGACTACTGGATTGACTTGTGACCACCATGCTTATAACTGTTACCTTATTTCTTATCGTACTGGTTATTGCAATAAACCTTTACCTATTTTATCCACTGTGTGTGTCAAGTATATATTCCTATTTGCATGAAATATAACAAAAACAATAACAACAATAACAAAATTGTATGAGCTCAGGTAAAAAATAGTTACTAAGACATTAGTTTTAGAAATCCCCAAAATTATTAGACTCGATGTTCTCAAGGGCACAAGAGTTGTGAGTTCAATACCTGGCTGCAGTCCTAATATAAATAGTGTATAAAACATTTTTCATATAACCAACACTGCTACATTTCTATGTAGTCATCCTTGAAATTGACCCTCTTGTCATATGTGCTTCAAAGGATATGGCGTCAATCCACAAGAGTTACCCTTGCATTTCTGCAACATTAGCATCATATGTGTACAAATGTTTTCCTGGATAATTGTTGCTTGAGAAGCTTAAATAAAAGGTAATTTAATTGAGACCAAGTCAGGATTATGCTTTTGATATAGTAAAACATCACAGCCATATCACAAGAGCTGCTCTTTTATTGGATTAGCTGTGTGTCAGGAGGCATTGTCATGCAGCAGGAACATACTTTAATATCTCACCATACAGTCATACAAACAACACACTGATTTATACACTAACTGGTGAACCTTGAACTTTTGGCAGGATCAATGATGATAGATACTTCCAGATCAACCTTTGTTTTCAGAGTAACATGATACCCCCAGGTCCCATTGTGCATGATCAAGTACCCGGGAACAGGGTTCAGCAACCTTTTGCTAACTATATGCCGACTTAAGGTTTTAAAATCATTCAGTGTGCTAACAGCATGCATATTTTTATACAAGTCTAGGTCAATATATCTTTATATATATACATTAGTATATATTAAAATTGAAACAGCTAAATATCTTCTTTGCGTTGTAGTAGTTATTGGTTCGGACTTTGTGATGTCATTTGTGGCTGTGTCCCATTGGAAATTGCTTGGCATGCCACAGGTTGCCGACTCCCTGCTCTAGAAAGTCCCCATGAACTCCCAAAAGCTGAAAAGAAATTCCCAGGTATTATGTTCTTCAAGAAATTTCTTTGGGATTCAGCCAGATGACACCTTCTGATATCTCAACTTCTCATAGATGATTTCATGACTCACCAAATTTCGAAGATTTTACACCATCCATCACATTTTAAGCTTCAACATGCACAGTGCTATCATGTGTTGTTGATGACAATGGATGCCCGACCTGAGTCTTACCCTGCAGATTCATATGCTTCTATATCAGGGTTTCCTAACCAGGGCGATAAAGCCCACCAGTGAATGATTTCAACTGTCTGGTGGGTGATGAGTAACTGAACAGAAAATGACCAGTAATTGCAAATTTTGGTGGGTGAATTAGGTTTTTGAGTATTAAAACAAGTATTTCAACATATTCTACCTGGAAAAAAATATTCAAAGGAGATATGCAAAGAACCTGTCAAAAAGAAAACAAGGAGACTAAATAGGAATAACTGAATCACATTCCTGGATAAGATATAAATATTCCTGCAAGCAACAAATATTTTGGTATTTTCTATAGTTTTGAGAAGCATCATTAACATTCAAATAGTTCTTTAATATGAGACATAACAAAAATATTTGCTGAATTATTATTAGTGGCTAGTAGTGTATATTATTTTTAATTTTATAATGATAAACAAAAATTAATTTTTTGTCAACACTTGCAATAACCATAAAACTAAATTATGTAGTTTTTAATGGTGAAGTTTGCTTCCATTTGTTCTTTAATATGGTGGTAGTAGCAGCAGTCACTGCATAAATCAGCATTATTTGTTACCTCCTTTTGGTATTTTTACCACATCATAAAGTTAGTTTATGAACCAGTAACAAACTTTCACCAAACAATTTTGGTATGCTTTTGAATATTTACTATACAATCTTGTCAATCACCACAAACAACCAAATAAGACAAATATTAGTAGATAATACCAAAATATTACACAGCACTCAATGCCAGGAAAGACTCGAAATTCCAGAAGCCATTATTATACAAAAGAAACAATCTATAGATGACATAGATCTCCATAGATGTTATGGATTCAGTTTAACTTGTTTGGATAAAATCTTATTGCTTACATATACCAGATATTTTGGTAAAGGTCTTTTTGTTTGGGTCAGAAATTTGCTAGTACTTTAGAGTTTATTTTGGTCTTTCACTGCTAAAATCTATTATTGATATCTGTAATATTTGGACTTTAACCAAAAAAAATTTTAAATTCCTGTTACATAAAGCAAAAACAATTTAAATAAAGAAAGCATTTGCTTAAGCAATTTATCAAGGTGTTTGTTTTAATTTTTTTTATTTAAGTTGTTTGTTTTAATTTTTTTTTTATTTAAGTTATTTTGTAGGCCAGCCGTTAGGCCATCTGATTTTGTAGGCCAGGAGTCAAGCCGTCTGGTTTTGTAGGCCAGCAGTTAGGCCATCTCATGTTGGAGGCCAGAATTTGATCCATCTCATTTTATAGTCTGGTATTTAAGCTCTTTTTCAATTGGTTGACTTTCTTTGACAAGAGCTTCTCATTATTATTAAAAATTAGATGCATTATGTAAGAGTTCAAATATCAAATGTACCAGGGAATTAATAAATTTAATCTTATTTACCAAAATAAAGCCTAAGTAGTCTTGTATACCAATTTCTAAGGTTGACTAATAAAAACATAGATGGATTATGTAAGAGTTCAAATATCTAATGTTGTTGGTTTCAGTTAGGGAATGACTGTAAAACATGTCCCTCCTCATTAATTTATAGATACAGTGCTGGGATTTCTTCCTAACCAATAAGAGAGGCCACTTCTCTGTCTTGTCATGCTCAGATCTGTTCTTTCTTGTCTTGAAGCCAGAATGCTGTGATTGCTCTTTTGTGTGTTAACACCATTCTTAGTTTGTGAACTTTTTGCCTTATTAGTGTTGTTTTGCCTACTTTTGTTTTGCATATATTGTTTGCTCAGTATTATTTTTGCCCTGTTCTTTTCTTTCTCTTGTTATTATTTATTGCAGAATTTGTCATTTCTGTTTGTTGGGCATTTCTACCAATTACATTTAACCATAGCCAAATACTCTACATAAAGTCCTTTCCTTTGGTTTCACTTTCTGTAGCCCCCCTTTCATTTTAGTGGCATCATCATCTTGCTTGGGTTGAATTAATAAAAAAAAAAATAAATAAATAAAGGAAAAAACATATCAATTCTATTGTCCAGCCCAATAACTATTATACAACTTTAAGATGGTCTCATATTTGAGTGAACCTAAAGATGGACTCCTGCAAAAATATGTGCAGATTGGTGCAAGTCTATTGCCCGAGCATGTTGGTGCAGTTGTTTCATCCACTATATTTTTGTTCTTTGTTTTGATGTCAGAATGCTGTGATTGCTTGTCTGTACCCCCTTTTGTGTGTTAACACCTTTCTTTGTTTGTGAAGTTTTTGCCTTATTACTGTTGTTTTGCCTACATTTGTCTAGCATATATTGTTTGATCTTTTCTGTCTTATTGGTGTTTATTGCAAACTTTGTCAATTCTGTTTGTTGGGCATTTTTGCCAATGACTCTACAGGGTGGTCCGAAAGTCTTGTCACTCCTACCAAAAAGTAATGAAAAAAACAAGCAATACAATAATACAAAGCAAATGTACTGGATTCAGTTTATTTATTTTTAGTGGAGCTGTCACACACTAAGAAGCCTCTCTTGCAAGCTGTAGGAGCTCATGTCAGTCACCTGAAATAAAAAAAATTATATTAGGTAGGGGTGACAAGACTTTCGGACCACCCGGTACAATGTATTTATTCACTATTCTACACTATGCTCTCCTGCTATGTGTTAGCAGAGTATAGTCGAGAGTAGTGAATAAATTTATGAATTTAATTTTATTTAACAAAATATAACATAGATAGCATTATGCAAGGGTTCGAATAGCAGTGAATATGTTAAATTTTATTTTATTTACCATAATAATGGAAGGCTTCGGCATAAAATGACCCAAATAGGAGTTGACATGCCGTTAAATCCAACATCCATCCATCCATAATAATGACTAAGTAATCTTATATATGTGTGACATAATTGATAATGGCTCAGAATAAGAAATCAGAGTTGTGTTCAAGTTCCAGTCAGGTTTGTTACATACACTTACATACAAATACCACTGGAAATGTTATCGATCCATCTCACCTTTCCCAGCTAGGGGTTGAATAGAAGGAAAGACTGAGTCCCATAGCCTTGGTTGGTAATCTATTGTGGGAAATCTGCCTAGTCAATTATGAATTGAAAGAGACATGATCGCCCTAACATGCATCATGTACAGCACTGTGTCTTATATAGCAATTTCTAATGTTAACTAACAAAAACATAGAAGACATTATGTTGAGGGGTAAATATTCAAGGTAGCATTGAATGTGTTCAGTCAAATATTTAAAACTACCCAAGTGTTACAATAAAAAATAATAAAAACAATGAATGAACATTAAACATAGAATGAAAGAAAAAAAAATAGTCCAAAATGAATGTCACATATACTCAGGTATATGCAACCCCCTGAATTTTTTGCATGAATTTTAACCCCTCCAGAAAAAATTGACCTATGTATAGTGTTACTGGTCATTGAAAATGCATAATTTTTAACATCTTCAAAATAAAAAATTACCCATGTATAGTGCCCCCCCATTTTTTACTTAAAAAAACTGATCATAAAAACTTGCACTATACTTAAGTATATATGGTAATGTTGAAACTTGTCATAGTCTACAATAATGATGCAATATTTACAGATAATTTTTCTTTTCTTTTTCCAGTCCACCCCCATGATTAGGAGCAAATATCGTACAGTGACAGTCTCCCCCCCATCTGTTACTAGAACAGAGATCTCATCATCGTCAGCTTCCTCATCCAACACATTTCTTGCCCAGTTGCTCACTACAGGTAAGCTGTAAATATATCTAAAAGCTAGCAGATGTGAGAGCCTTTCTCTATTTTATTATATTGCTTCCCTGTTTTTTTTTGGGTGGGGGGTTCTTTATGTTTTTTTTGTTTTTTGTTTTTAATAACTCATCCAAAATAAAACTGCTTTCATTTAATCACTACAGAGAACATTTTCTGCCTGCCATCAGCATGGCTGATCTTAAACTCCAGGAGAGCAACCCTCTAAGACTTCTTGGCCTCACATTTTCCAATGACATGAAGTGGCTCTCGAATCACTTGCTTAGGTCTACTGCAAGTAAAGTTGGTTCACTGTGTTGTGCCAGGAAATTTTTCCTGTCAGAATCCATCTTACACATTTATAAATCTACCATTCCTCTGTGCATTGAATACTGCTGATATATCTGATCTGGTGCTCCTGCTGTACATCTTGAGATTCTTGATTCAAAGAAGGGTCCGTAATGTAATCAATCCTGATCAGACATCTTCACTTTCTCACTGATATGACTTCCCTCTGTCTTTTCTACAAATGTTTTCATGGCAGCTGTTCTGATGATCTTTTCCCCTGGTGCCCCAACTACATGAATTTAAGTCTGCTACTAGATTGGCAACTAGGTCTCTTTGTTTTACTGTTGAACTAGCTAGATACAACTGCCACTTCTACTCTAATAGTTTCTTTTCTCGCACTTCCTACCTGTGGAATAACAGCCTGATTCTTGTTATCCTGATAACTATAAAATTTCAAAAATTTAAATGCAACATCAATCGCTATCTTCTGTCTTCTTGAATCCATCTCCTTTTTATTGTCCTTTTTTCAATCCTCCCTGCTAAAGTCTTCTTATTCACTTTTACTCCCTGTAACCTCCCTACGTTTGAGTGGCATTAAAGCCTTGCTTGAGGTGAAATGATAAAAAAAAACAAAATAAACATTACGCATCTCTCTATATGTCTCAATCCAAAGTTGCCTTCCTGATTTTATCAAGAAAAATGCAATTAAAGCTATGATTTAGGCACTTACAATGTCTTCCTAGTCATCTATCATTTGCTTGTTTTCTTATCAATATATATATATATATATATGTAAGCAAATGTAAATGGATATAGATCCGACAGATCCTAATAGAATTCTTTTCATTTCTTTTTCATTCAAAATAATCAAAAATTTTTAGGAATACGTTTTGAAAGCGTCGCCCATGTGACGACAACGTGACCATGCTAAACGGAAAGCTGATCATTTTAAAAAATTTTTCAGTTATCTGTTTTTGATAAGACTTGTTTTTTATGTCCATCGTCTTTGTCAAATTGAACTGAATTGTATTTTAATGAATATTGTCCTGAAGAAGGTTTATTAAACCGAAACGTCAGACGTCGACATTTCATTCATTTTAAACAACATAATTGCATTTAAGGATTTTTGTTTGTTTTTTCCAAATTTTTCTTCATATATATATATATATATATATTTAAAGGGATCATAATAAAAACATTTTGAAATTGCTACACAAAAGCTTTCATGTTTCAATACTATGATTATATTTCTTTAGATGAACAGTGGATTTTTCCTCCATCTGTTCTTTGTCATTTGATTATATATCTATAATTCAAAAGAAAAGCCAACAGCCCTGAAGAGTGAAAGCATTATTGCAATGCACTCATGAAACTTTGAAGTTAGCATGACTGAACTAGTCCCACTTAGGTTTCTCCACATTAATGATATATATATATATATATATATATATATATATATCAACAAGAAATATCAGTGTAAATTTAATAGCTAAAAATCAACCGGTTTCATCCCAGTCTTATCAAGTTTAATTCTGGGAAATAAAAGAATAGACATGTAAATTAGTGTGGACCGTTATTCTATTCTATCAAGGTCCCCCTCTTTATATCATCTGAAGGTTCTGGAGTCCTTATATATCAGATCCTGCAAGCCTCCCCTCTGTAAACAGAGGGATTGTTTGCTGGGTTTGAATATTATTGATCTCTAGTTTTCCTTGAAATTTTTCTCCCCCCTTCATTAGTCATCTTTAATTAATTTATATATTACTAGCAGATTCTGATGGTGACCTATCTACATTAGAATGAACTCTTCCTCCTTCATAAATACTAATCTGCAAGACTTTCTATCCAGGCAGTCGGGACGCAGTGTAACCAGACAGTTTAGATGGACACTTCAAGCCACACTTGCTCTACATATACATATTATACCTTTTTGGAATGAGGATTATGTAAACAAGATGATGATTATTTTTAAGAATTCTTCTAAGTTTGTCCATTTTGACCCAATAGATAAGTTTGATTCTACATTATCTATTGATGCTAAGTTCCAAAAACGTCAATTGGGTTAAAAGTGAGATTTTACCCACTGACATTTCTAATTTAATTAGACCCTTGGGTTCTGTTCATTCCTGTCTCTATGGTTTACCCAAAACACATAAGGTTGCTGTTCCATTGAAACTTATTTTGTCCAGGATAGGGTCTTCTCAATATGGCGTGGCCAAATGGCTTACCATCATATTGCAGCCAGTTTTGGAATGGTATAATTCTTCCTGCATTAATGATTCATTTGAATTTTCTGACTTTATACAGTGTTATCCATAGACTAACATATTTATGTATTCCTATGATATTTCCAGCTTTATCTGCATCCCTCTTGCGGAGACCATTGATATATGTGCTGATACTTTATATCGTAGTCAGTTGTCCCCTCCTGTTATTTCTAAGGATGTTTTTGTTGAACTGATGAAATTTGCCATAGTGTTGGTTGAATTTATGGTGATTTTATGGGTTCTCCTTTAAGACCCATTTTAGCTAACATCTTTGTAAGATTCCATGAAAAGAGTGTATTATCTAAATTTAAATAGATCTGATGTTTACTTCCATTATGTGGTTGACACTTTTTGTCTCTTCAATAACAAGACTAAAGTGGACTTCTTTATTTCATCCCTGAACAATATTCACCCAGCTCTTAAATTTAGGCAAGAAAAGGAAATTAAGTCTTCCCTTCACTTTCTTGATGTTTTGGTTAGCAGAACTTCTTCGGGTTTTCTTTCTTCTGTTTATTGAAAACCAGCGTTTACTGGTTTGTATACCTGTGGGACTCTTTTTGTCTTGTAAAATAGAAAATAAATTTAATTAGGACCCCTACACATAGAGCCTTAATAATCTGCTCTAAAACCAAGCTAGATGATGAACTCAAGTTTATTACTACCACTCTCTGTAACAATGCCTATCCATTGGGCTTTGTTCATTCGGTCATTAAGAATAACATTTTGGAATTCAATAATGTTAAATTGGCTAAAGTGCAAAGATGTCCTGTGTACCCGCGTCATCTTCCTTGGTTGGGTAGTATCAGTGATAGATATGCTAAGCAGGTTTCTTTATCATTTCGACTTTGCTGCTAACACTAGTGTTGTTTTGTCTGCCACATCTATTCTTCCATCCATGTGGATAGACGTTCTCATCATAATAATTCTTTGATTTATTCATTTAAATGTTGTTGTGGTTCACACTACATAGAAAGAACGACACAAAAGCTGGACATCAGAATAAAACAGCATGTACCAACAAAAATCCGAAACCTTAAGTATTCCCCATCAGATATTCTGACCAATACATATGGGTCGTCCGTCGTAAATCACCTGATAAATAACCGTAATTATGCCACTAATTTTAGTGTGGACTTAATTTTCTGTTCTCAGTAAATTCTACGCAAATTACCACTTGAAAATATTGGAGGCCATATATATTTCTCCCTTGAAACTTTCATTATGTAAACAGAAGGATTTTGTCCTGGGCGTCCAATTAATTTCCATTTAAGAATATTTTCCCTACATATTGTCCATCTTTTTACTCATGGTTATACCTTTATTAACCTTAATTTAGCTCTGTTGAATGAGGTTTGAAACTCACATCAATCCAACTATATACTATATATATATATATATATATATATATATATAATTCTTTATTTAAAAAATTTATAACATAAATATGTTATAAAATCACTACAAAAATAACCATAATGAAATGGACAAAGTCCGACAATTATTTTAAGCTTATACATTCTTTTTATAGATACAAATATTTAAGTAAATGCTCTGTTTATAATAATGTTGTTTAATAATGTTTATTAGAAACAGAGCATTTACTTAAATATTTGTATCTATAAAAAGAATGTATAAACATAAAAATGTCTTAAAATAATTGTCAGACTTTGTCCATTTCATAATGTGTGACGTCATTTGTTTACATTTGAATACGCCATGAGCAGATATGAATGTATGTCAGAGAATCATGGAAGATTGTAGTTTAAAGATAGTAAAATCAACCTTGCTAATTAAACGCTCCTCTGTGGCCCAATCGGTTAAAGGCACGTCAGGCTATATGACGGTTCCATATAGGATACAGGTTCGATTCCTGTCGGAGGATGAATATTTTCTATGAAAATTTCTCGGACATTCAGGCCAGTAAATGTTGTTTAATACTGTTTATTACAAACAGAGCAATTACTTAAATATTTGTATCGATAAAAAGAATGTATAAACATAAAAATGTCTTAATATATATATAAAATCATAAGTCTTATTTGTTGTAGGTAAGTATCACGGTGCAAGTACAGATGTCAAGCATGAACCAAACTGGAAGCCTTGTATAATCTCAACAGTGTCCCTGGCTACTACAACTACATTGACCTCAGCTTACCCACGAATCCAACCAGCCCAGGATTCTACATCCCCTACACAGAGCACATCTACAAATCCTGTAACTTTAGCCAGTTCTACACCAACCAGTATTTCCATCAACTTCACGCAGGTAAGAGATGCTTTTTTCAAATTCATGTAAAGCCAACTTATCTTGCAATAAGTATACTGACAAAACACAAACACCTTAGTTTTGAATTTCTGAGGGCCTGCCGTGTTAGGTTCAAATAAAAACTATGCAGCAGACAATCTTGTTCTCGCTCTTTCAGTCTTGAAAAAAATAATAATTTTTGAATATTAATTTTATTTTCTGAGTCCTTTTGACATCTCAGACTTGGACAAGTTTTTTACACTTCATATTCTCCTTTTGTTTATTTTAAAATTTACAATACCCTAAATTTATAGTGGGAGATTGTTGTAAAGTAGTTTTCACAGTGGAGGCTTGTATTTTCACTAAGTCGTCCTAAATTAGGTTCGACGTACAAAACGTTATGAACTTGCAATAATAGTTAATGATGCAGCAATCTAGTTGTGATGGTTGATACTTCAATGTCCAACATTGACTGACTCACTCAACTCCACTGAGCTCAACTGGCGACTACTACTACTACTACTTTTTATGTGTGGGAGAGTCTATTACAATAGAATAGGTAATGTTCTGGTATAACAGAGATAAAACATCGGCGTTACTTAAAATTGCTTTGAATGACAAGGAGGTAAGTCAATTTGCTTAAACGTGGTTACATACCTTGTATAATAAAAAAAGTTTTATTCTGCAAATTACTGTCAAGGAATCTAATTTAATATTTTAAATGTAATATTCAAATATTAATTAGCATTTAATATATTTCTCTCTGCTGAGGTTTGCACAGAGTGAATATTAACTGTTTGATGTTTTTTGTGCGTATTTGTTGTCTATTTTGGTCAAAGGGGAAAAGCTTGTTCACTACAAAGCAAACTTGAATATATGAGGGACGGCTGAAAAGTCCAAAGGCTGACCAAGATATAAATGTAAGTGGACGCAGCAGTTAGTAGACTAAAAGACATACAAGTGTACCAGAATACAACAGCTGGTCAGCCAACTGTTGTATTCATGGTCAGCCAATGAAATTTTCAGCCCACCTTTATATATGCTACCCATAGGTTCAAGGAACATGAACAGATTGATCAACCACTACACCTATCCAGTTAACTCCTGTTTCCCATGTCTTACCGGACATTTAACATATATTTTACAATCATTAACACTAGTAAATGAATTAAATTTCTATTTTGTTTTTATTCTATCTTTGATAACCCATTTTATATCTTTGGGTAGCATCTCATAAAATTAAATACTAGCTACTCTGTGACCCTTGAATAGGTTGGTACTGTATTTTTTCTCCTCATCTTTTAGCCATCTGTCTTGGGCAAAGCCAGCAACAGCAGCAGTTCCCATTTGACCAACTATTCTACTAGTGTCTTACCAGTAGTGTCCAGTTGCACCTTCTCTAAGAACCAACAGTCGCAGGACACATCCAGTGGGTTCATTCCTGGAAAACATGGTGGGTGTGTCTGTTATTCCTTTGCCTCTTATTGTCTCATTTGTTTTGCCTTGATCAAACCATTACCTGGAAAAGTGAACACACATTTCCTTTCTTTGGTAGATTGTCTGCTTGTGTAGAATTCTTATATGTTCAGTCTTTTCAGTCATTTTGTCATTAAAAGTTTTCATGAACCATTCTTAGTGCAGACTAGGCACCGTGAACATATTTGTATCCATTTTGATATTCTAACAATAAACTTTTGGTCACATAAACCATAACAGATATATTCCACTATGTGTTGCTCACAGCAACTCCTTTCACTGGACAACACGCATCAAACTCCTGATGTCACTTACCCTCAACATCAGTTTCATCATATTTGAGATAAGAAAGGTAATGGCTATAAGTTGATCGATTTAAATAGTTGTTTATATATAACTAATAAGCAGTTTAAACAATAGTTCTCTTTCTTTGTCGCTCTCTCCCATTCACTTTTCCATTCTTTCTCTCTCGCAATCTCTCTCTTGTTATCTCTCCCTCCCTCCCTCTTTTGTTATCTCTCCCTCCCTCCCTCTCTCATTTGTTATCTCCCTCCCTCTCTCATTTGTTATCTCCCTCCCTCTCTCATTTGTTATCTCCCTCCCTCTCTCATTTGTTATCTCCCTCCCTCTCTCATTTGTTATCTCCCTCCCTCTCTCATTTGTTATCTCCCTCCCTCTCTCATTTGTTATCTCCCTCCCTCTCTCATTTGTTATCTCCCTCCCTCTCTCATTTGTTATCTCCCTCCTCTCTCATTTGTTATCTCCCTCCCTCTCATTTGTTATCTCCTCCCTCTCTCATTTGTTATCTCCTCCCTCTCTCATTTGTTATCTCCTCCCTCTCTCATTTGTTATCTCCCTCCCTCTCTCATTTGTTATCTCCTCCTCTCTCATTTGTTATCTCCTCCCCCTCTCTCATTTGTTATCTCCTCCTCTCTCATTTGTTTGTTATCTCCTCCTCTCTCATTTGTTATCTCCTTCTCTCATTTGTTATCTCCCTCTCTCATTTGTTATCTCCCTCTCTCATTTGTTATCTCCCTCTCTCATTTGTTATCTCCCTCTCTCATTTGCTATCTCTCCCTCCCTTTCTCTCTCGTTATCTCTCCCTCCCTTTCTCTCTCGTTATCTCTCCCTCCCTTTCTCTCTCATTATCTCTCCCTCCTTTCTCTCTGTTATCTCTCCCTCCCTTTCTCTCTCTCCCTCCCTTTCTCTCTCGTTATCTCTCCCTCCCTTTCTCTCTCGTTATCTCTCCCTCCCTTTCTCTCTCGTTATCTCTCCCTCCCTTTCTCTCTCGTTATCTCTCCCTCCCTTTCTCTCTCGTTATCTCTCCTCCCTTTCTCTCTGGTTATCTCTCCTCCTTTTCTCTCGTTATCTCTCCTCCCTTTCTCTCTCGTTATCTCTCCCTCCCTTTCTCTCTCTAGATTATCTCTCCCCTCCCTCATTATCTTATCTCTCCTCTCCCTCCCTTTATCTCTCCTCTCTCTCTCGTTATCTCTCCTCCCTTTCTCTCTCTCGTTATCTCTCCTCCTTTCTCTCTCGTTATCTCCCCTCCCTCTCTCATTCGTTATCTCTCCTCCCTCTCTCATTCGTTATCTCTCTCCCCTCTCATTCGTTATCTCCCTCCCTCTCTCATTAGTTATCTCTCCCTCCCTCTCTCATTCGTTATCTCTCCTCCCTCTCTCGTTCGTTATCTCTCCCCCCTCTCTCATTCGTTATCTCTTCCCCCCTCCCTCTCTCATTCGTTATCTCTTCCCCTCCCTCTCTCATTCGTTATCTCTTCCCCCTCCCTCTCTCACTTGTTATCTCCTCTCCTCCCTCTCTCCTTGTTATCTCCCTCCTCCCTCGTTATCTCCCTCTCTCGTTATCTCTCCCTCTCTCGTTATCTCTCCCTCTCGTTTGATATCTCTCCCTCCCTCCCTCTCTCATTTGATATCTCTCCCTCCCTCCCTCTCTCATTTGATATCTATCCCTCCTCCCTCTCTCATTTGATATCTATCCTCCCTCCCTCCTCTCTCATTTGATATCTATCCCTCCCTCCCTCTCTCATTTGATATCTATCCCTCCCTCCCTCTCTCATTTGATATCTATCCCTCCCTCCCTCTCTCATTTGATATCTATCCCTCCCTCCCTCTCTCATTTGATATCTCTCTTTGAATTTAATCTCTTTTATATTGTGAATGTAGCTTGATATATTCACAACATAATTGTAGAGATTAAATTCAAGGATCTCTCTTGATTTTTTTTGTCTTTTCTGTGAACAGTAGTTTTCTACATACAAGATAAACCCCTTTTTTATTTATGAATATGAGAATATGAATACAAAGTGTTACTAAAATGTTTACATCTCACTCTGTAATATTTTTTTAATTTCAGCAAATCCTACTTGTTCACCTCCTGATCCCAACTCCACACCCAATAGTCCAACTTTGTCATTGGGTAGTCCATTATCCTCAGGTCAAGAGATGGACACATCTTTTGTAAGTGGCAGGCATTTTTTTTTTTAATTCAGAATCTTTGCTTGCAGCTGTTTCCAAATTTTATTATTGATACATATCTATATAATAAATGCAGATGTCAGTGTGTCGCACTTTCTCAATTAAAGAGACACAACTCTCTAACTTTCAATAGCTCATGTTACAGAAATTTTGGATTCACAAGTTTTCATTACAGCGATTGTTTTCCACAATTTTTTTTTACATATTTTTCATGACAAATTTATTTGTACGATAACAATTTTTATAACTTGGAAATAAATTTGGAAATAATTTAAATTAATTACAAAATCCAGTGAAAGTCACGCATGAAATACAAATGATTGTTTGTATGGAAAGTAAGGACCTACACACATCAAATTGTCTTATGTGGTTTTAAGCTTGTGTGTGTGTGTGTGTGTGTGTCTGTTTTTTAAATGATATTTCCAATTTTGTTCAGTTTGTCCTGCATTTTTTCAATCCGTTTTTTACTGTTTTGTACACATGCATTCATGAATTTAACATTCTTTTACACATACACATTCCTGAATTTTTGCTTTTATTTATGTCTTCATTTTTTTTTTCAGCTGTAGATTTTTCTTCTAGTTGTAAATATTTTTCTTCAAAATTAAATTTTTTTTTTTATATACATTACCTGTTCATTTTGGCAGAGATGATGCCATCTAGACGGAGACATGTTTATCTTGCCATGCATTCAAAGTTTATATTGATCAGTTTGACCAGATGTTGTGTTCCATGCCACCACTTGCTTCAGTATTCCAGTCCCCAATACCACTTTATAAACTGATCATCAAAAGACAGTTTCTTTTTCCAATTCACTATAATATATAAGAAGAATAGCAGCATCGATTTTAGCAGGTAACAAGTGTAAAATCTTCAGGGAAGCCCACTTGTTGGCTTAGCATTTCACCACATGCGGGCTAGCCTTTTTAAGGAACCTGGATACAGAAAGGATGTTGACTATTCAAAATTCTTGTGGTTCTTTGCCAACTTCACACCATTTTGGTCTTTTGGTTTTATATCTAAAACATACACCAAGGCAATCCATTACTATCAGAATTCCACACTCACAGTTCTTTTGACCAGTAATCTGCTATCCTGGGCTGGTCCCTGCATTCTGTAACATGGATCCATGGGATTATTGATGCTTGAAAATGTGTGTTTGTGTTTTTCCATTAATTTTTTTTCCTTTTGCACAAGATGAAATATGACAAGATAAAAGCTGTGTTAGACAGTTATGGCAAAACTTTTAGATGATTGACACTTCACAGTCAAAGGACTGTTGTTGAAATTATGTTTTGGTGAAATCTTTTTTTTTTTTTTTTGCTTTATTTTATGCTATATCTCTCATTTAACAATGTTGTCTATATATTTATTAAACCTGGTAGCAAGCATAAAACTAAAAATGACACTGTGTTGATGGCAGGCACAGAAAACTGCAAGAAAATCAAGGAAGGAAATAATAAAAGAAAGCAAGATGAAAGGACTAACCATCAACTGTAAGAAGATAGAATACATGGTTGTCAACAAAAGGGATGATCAAAGTTGCGAGCTATAAACTGGAGATGCTAGAATTAACAAATACAGAAATTTAACTATCTGGGAAATGTTATTACAGATAACCAAAAATGTAACAGTGAGATTGAAATATTGTAAAATGCATTCTAAAAACTAAGCAAAGTATTAAGAAACAAGAAAATTTTGTTAGCGATAAAGGAAAGGACTGAACTGCTATTTACCATCAATCCTACTAGATGGTGAATGCTGGATAATTTCCTCACAGATGAAAAGGAGACTAAAAGCAACAGATGTGGCTCTACAGAAGGATGCTGAGAAATTCATTGAGGGAACGTTAGCAATAATGATGTTTTTAAGAAAAATATGTCAGAAAAAGACAATTGAAAATTGTGAGTAAAAAAGGTTTGGAGGATTTGACACTCACGGGATATGTTAAAGGTAAGAGAGGCAGAGGGATATCTCAAGTCCCCTAACTCTAGAGATTATTTAAATGCATGGCAAAAGAGGGACTGAGAGGGAGACTGAGGGGGTTAAACATTGCTTAGATTTACAAAGGATAGGAAATTGTGGAGAGTCATGATCTCCCACATCTTGAAGGGAGAAGTACATACAAGAAGAACATGGTTTAAATTATGTTTAAATGTTGAAATCCTGATGATGTAAATGAGCATAGCAAGTTGATGACAATTTTGTTGGGCATTTTCAATCGGAAATGACTTGAATTATAACAGAACTTGCTGGCTTTGTATAATTTAGCACTCCAAAGCAAAATAAAAATACTTCTGGTTGTCTCTCTAACAATATGACTTTTCACACCTTTAGAAGATAAGGAGATAAATTCCTTCCTTTTAAGTTCACTTAGTTATCTGAGTTTCGTAGGAATTTTGTCTCCAGTCCATTTTTGAGTAAACTTAAGTGTCAATGTTTTCAGGATTCATGTCTCCAGTTTGCCTTTGAATTGTGGAACATAAAAATTTTATCAATGATTTTAGATAGTCATTTAGATAGTTCTTTAAAGATTTGACCACCATGTGATTTTGGGGTGGTCTCAGAACTTCCAGGACACAAGTGGATGGAGGTGGTAGACCCCAGGATTATCCATATAAGCAGAGAGAGTCAGCAAGTCAGTAGATAGAGGGGGTCAGCTGTGATAGAATTAGTTAGGTGACCAGAGGAGTTAGTAACTGCCCAGTGGCCAGTGACAGAAGGACCAGTAGTGAGGAATCAGGAGTTGCTGAGTCCAGTGAGAAAGTGACCAGCTAAGATAGGGAGATAGCAGTTCAGCCAAAGGAAAAGTTAACTCTGCTAAGTGAGAAATTGTATTGTTGTGAATTTCCAACCAGTGTCTTTAAAAGCATTTGTCATCATCATACTTATTATAAAACCCAGGTTGTGTGTGTGTCTGTTCATTTATATATTGGATCGGATTTCCTACATTTTTCAACTGATTTCAACAAAACTTCACAGGACTACGGAAAATTACCTTGCGGTGGTTCTGACAGCACCAAAAATTGGAAAAACACCATTGTTTTTGCATGAAATCAATTTGAAAACACGATTAAGAGGCATCGCTGTCGCGAGAATGAAAGGGGGACAACTCATATAGAGTTATTATAAAACCCAGGTTGTGTGTGTGCCTGTGTTCGTTTATATATGGGATCAGATTTCCTACATTTTTCGACCAATTTCAACAAAACTTCACTTTTTTTTTGGCAGGTAGTGTTTCTTATTGCACACTTTTTTCTTTATTTTTACATTCAGAATGCTTTAAAAATTCCATTTACAAGACAATTGTTTATAATAAAATTCTATTCAATCAGTAGACTCATAACGATTGAAAACAATGTTTTTGTTTGAGTTTGGGTTTGACCAATTCGTAAAAAAACAAACAAACAAAAAACAAAACAAAAAAAAAACTAAGACATGTGTGTCTGTCAGCCTTAAACAATAATCTTTGTCAATTTTATTTTTCAGTCTTTATGATGGTGGATACTTGATCTATCTCTTACTGTTACATCCCCGGGCAATGCCGGGCTCGACTGCTAGTTATTATTATATTGTTGAAAGTGATCATGACCAACAAGACAAACCTGTGCACATAGCGAGTTGTGTGTATATGCAAATACAATCAGCCTTGGATGTCAAACATTGTCAAATTTCCACTATGAATAATGTCACATCTCTGTAAATAGCTTTTTGATACCCAGTTTTGATGACTGTTTGATTTCTGATCTGTTATGTGTATTTACTTCAGGATATTAATTAAAATGTTTTTTTTTTTTTTTTGTTCTCTCTTCTCTTTCCTGATTGGCTGCTGCTCTTTTGATTGACAGCCTTCATCTCAACAAAAAGGGGCATGTCCTAAAAGCAAACAAAGCCGTGGACATTGTAGGGAGCACAGACGGGTATCTCACATCTCTGCAGAACAAAAACGGAGATGTAATATAAAGGTAGGTGGAAAAAAAATTAATTTTTTCTTTTATTATTGGGATACATATTTATCTGTCTCTTTTCTATTTATTCCTTTCTTAGGACTCTTCCATGCCTTTTAAGTTGAGGGTATCAAATACTATTTTGCCAATATACATACATATATATATATATATATATATATATATATATATATATATAGGCACAGTGAAGTACTGAATAGCAGCTTGGATTAAGGAATTGGAGAGCCGAGTTCGAAATCCAGTCGAATCCATTACATTCACTTACATGCTAATACCCTTGGGAAAGATATGAATCCTCTTCTTCTCCCTCCAGCTATGGGTAAATATAGGTATCTCCACGAAATCGCTAAAAAATAGAGCATAGTCTGATGAAAAAGATGCCAAAGTTTATGAAAACAAAATTTTATCCTCAAAATGCTTATGTTTTTATGAAGAGGATAGACCAAATTTTTTTTTAATTATTTTTAAAAATTTTTCCATCTTTTTAGAATATTCTAAATTTTGATTTAAAAAACCTTGTTTCTCTTTGTCACAACAAGGGGTAGTAAATAACATAGATAATTTTTAGCACGTTTTTTTGTATTACACACATTAATTTAGAAAATCTTGCAAAAATAAAAATAATTGTCAGATGTTAATGAAACTTTCAGAAACTATTCACAGATGATCAAAATTATTATATGTTTTTTTTTATTAAAGTCATGGCAGAAATTTTTTTTTTATATATTTAACACCCCCATAACTAATTTTATGAAAAACTCTAGAAATTCGAGACCATCGGTTTTAGTGATTACAATAGTTAAAAGCACAAGGCTTTGACGAATGTAAATCATGTTTTTTTTGTTTTTTTTAATTTGGCCAACGTACCTGAAAATCAGCTCTGAATTGTAACATACAAAACTCAATAAAACAAATATATTATTTAATTTCAAATGCTTTTATTTGTTTTTTTTTTTGTTTTTATGAATATGGACAATATTTTCTGAAAGCAAAAAATTTTTTCAATGGAAATTGAATTTTTAATACAATTATTTCTTATTTCTTTAATTTTAAAAAGATTTTTAAAAAATTTTTAAATTGAATTTTAAAAAATATTTTAACATTTAGTTAAAAGCAACGTCAAACTTTCAAAATGTCCATGTGAGATTGTCATTGTCTAGCGTTTTGAAAATTTTTTCATTTGGACCAATCAGATTAGCCATAGTAATTAAGTTATGTAATTTTTGTGTTTATAGTCGGGCAGTAATTATCAAGTACAGAAGACCAACCAGAATACAATTTAGTTGCATTATTTCAGTTCAGCATTGTTCTCCGCTGTTAAGGCCTTTACTTTTGCAGCGAAACACGATAGAGAAGTTAATTTGAGTTTTCAATTTCAACTGAGAAGGGTACCTACAAGTAACAGTATCATCTTATGAAATTTAACTACTGCTAAACTTTAATTTATATGATCTTATTTTTATATTAATCTCAGTTATGACATTTTTCCATAAATGAAATATCAAAATTAATAATAAAATGAATGGAAATACAAATAACACAGTAAAATGTAATAAATGTACATAAAATTATAGTATTTTATGTACACTTCTGATAAAATTTCATAAGAAAGGTACCTATAAATTAATTAGATACCTTTTTCTTATGAAATTTAATCTCACTATTAACAGTCTTATTTTTTAATTTCTTTATATTTTCCATAAAGCATCATAAACGTAAAAATGAAAGCTAAGTACAAGAAAAAAAAATTAAAAAATTAGAGCGCTGAAAGTTTTCCTTAAAAGTAACGAGGTAAATAATTTGTTCACTTAAATAATTTCACTTCCTTCCATCCGTAGAAAGAATTATCCTCCCGTAAGTTATCTAAACGTCATGAATGTGCCTTTCGTCACTTGTTTTATTTTCAAATTACATTTTTCCGGCGCAGAAGCTAAGTTAAGCTTGGTTCAAAATATTTTAAATAAACAGTATAATTTCTGTTTTTATTAAAATCAGTTTTAAAAAAATGATAATTGATTTTTAAAAGAACATCAAAGTCAGATTTTCATCTTTTTTAAAAAATGGAAAAAAATGGTTGAAAATGATGGATTATCTGTCCATTTTTTTTTGACAAAGAAAAACAATATTTTTAACGAAAATTTCAGACGTGCTAGGAACGATTAAAAAATGTAAAAAAATACCCCAAAAATACTTTGATCTTTCCTCTTTAATAATAATATGAACATTAAACGATAAAATTTTGTTTTCGTCAAGTTTGGCATTTTTTTCATCATGCTATGCTCTTTTGTTTACATTTTCATGGAGGTACCTAGGTAAATAGCAGAACAGACTAGGTTCTATAGCCTTGGATGGTAACTGGTCTAGGAGAAGGACAACTCTTAATTCAAAACCTGCAGAGGGTTGTTTGGGGACCTTGTTGCACGTAGTGCACCAGGTCTCTGTATTCAGGCCTTCAAAAAGTATGGATGGTTTGGCACAAAATCTTCATGACTATAATCAAATCACATGTGCTGATGTTGGGTTGTCTGTTCCTAGGAACTAAGCTGCTTGACCCTCATATGACAGGAGAGTCAAAGATGTATATATAATTTCAGATATAACTAAAATTTATATGTAAAAGGACAATATGAATAAAGACAAAAAGAAAACAAAAAAGCCTTGTGTTTCATCATTGATCAAGTCTCAGAGGACAAAATATGTCAGCTAAGGTAAGTTTTCCTTTTGTCTTTATTTGTGCACACACACACACACACACACACACATATATATATATATATATATATATGATTTTATGCATGGTGCAATTGTGAGGTGCAGAATTCAAGCTCTCTTCCCACCAAAGTTTTTATTGGGATTCTCTATCAGTTTCTTCACCTATTTGAATAACGGTAGATGGTATTTGTTAAATTATTGTCATTGAGTAAAACAAAGAAGTGAGAATCTATCCTGACCACTCAGACTAATAAAACTCATTCTCACATTTTAAATATTTTAATGTGTTCACTGCTCTCGTGGATAATGTAACATATGGTGCAATTAAATGTGCACAACTTCTGTTCAGTACTGCCAGGAAGAAACAATTTAGTGCAATACTCTAGCTTTTTATATCACCATAAATAAAATTGTGATGATGAATGCACATGTGCAAAACACAAACATACATTAAGACAGTGAAAAGGTTAATTAATATCAAATATTTTTTTGCTGATAATTCATTTTGTTTGTGGGGGTTCATCAAAAGACAATGTCTTACATTGGTCATGAATTTATGACTTTGTTTGCATTAGGTTGATGTAAAATTTTCCAGCCTATCAATTCATTGCCTCATTATTCAGTCATCAGTGTATTTTCCCTCCCTGTCTTTGACCTTCCATTGCTTTTCATGTATTAGGTTGATGTAAAATTTTCAAGCCTTATTTTGACAAAATCTTTTATTTCTATAAATTCATCGCCTCATTATTCAGTCATCAAAGTATTTTCTCTGCATTTCTATGACCATGCACTGCTTTTTAGGTATTAAGCTGATGTAAAAGTTTCCAGTAGTATTCTGACAAAATCTTTTATTCATATAAGAATATGTCTCTTAAACCTCTGATTAAGACAAAATTAATTTTAATCTCAATAATTGATGGAATAATGACAATGTTTCTTTTAAGAGATTTAGGAACATGAGAAAGGCTGCAGGCAGAATGTATCCGTCAAATCTCTGATTAAAACAGTAAAGATCACAATCTGAATAATTGTTGTAATTATAGTAATATTTGTTCTTCAAACTTTCACAAAAACAATTCTGCATGCATTATGTTTTACATACCATTAATTGGCAAATTTTACATCTTTTTCAGAGTGGATTTGATGTCCTACACAGCCTGATTCCTTCTCTTAACCAAACACCCAGTGGAAAGGTTAGCAAAGCTGCCATGTTACAAAAAGGTCAGTTATTGCTCTTTTGCATGCTTGCTTCAAGTGTACTTGGTTCAGACAGGAAATCAAAAATGAGTGAATTAATATACTGCCAGCAATTGGTTTGGTTTATTAGTATAATCTTTATTTATTTATTTTTTTCTTTTTATAGATGCGGTGTTGTAACAATTGGGTGTGCACATTCTTTGTCTTGAGTCCTCTAAGTCTGGCAATCAATTGGATAATGATTCAAGACAATTCATAGATGACAATGAAAGCAGTATAAGTAAGGATTATCCTGAAACAGTTAATGGGATATTACACAGGTATAATATCATGCAAAAACATCCCCACACTAGGAGTTAATTGAGAAAAACCTAATCAAAGCAAAATTGTATTAATGCTCACCATCATTTTTTTGGGGTCAATGGGCATTAATGGATTAGAGGTAGAAGCCCACAATTGATGCGGGAGTTGTAAGAAGCCCACAATTGATGCGGGAGTTTCTTTTTAGAAACCTATAATTAATACTTTATTTTAATTTTTATAATGTGAAATTTTGTGGTGGGCATTAATGAGTTAATACAGAGGGCAGCAGAAATACTTCCCACATAATGGTAAGTCATTAGCTAGATGAAGACACCATTGACACTAATGTCTTACCATTATGTAAGAGATATTTCTAGGAGTTATGTGATAGGGTTGTAAGCTTCGAGGTGCTATTCAATGAAAAATACCCAAATTGATACAATGATGTTTTTTATTGTTTTTTTTAATTCTATATTGACAGTGTAAGAAAAATGAAAGGTTTTCAAAGACCGCATGTCAAAGATTTGACTTAAACCTTATGGAAGATTATGATAAACAGTATCTTCTCTTGGATTATTCAGGCTTGTAGCTTTGAAATGCAGTTGAGTGTTTTTTGGTTATTTTTGTGGCGGAATACATTAATACACATCATCTCAAAAATAGGATGATAGGCATTTATGGGTTAGAGTTAGAAACCTATAATTAATACCAAATATTTCTGTTTGAATTTCTGGAATGAGGAGATATTACTTACATGCAGACTATTGTCCTCATATTTGTTGTTGTTATCACAGTGTTTCAGGTGTCATTAGGTGCTTGGCAATCCAGGTAATCTACAGGGAATTTTGAATGGGATGCTTTATTCCATGTCCAAGTGCACACTGCCAAAACCCAGTGCTCATCAGTAGGCAAGTTAGGTTCAAGGTTCCAAATATGCCACACAGAATTATCCCACAGGACAATAGCCTAGTGAATTAAATTCATGAAATATCAGTTTGTGAATTTGTTGATATAGTAATTGTGAGTTCAATCCCTGGGTCAGGTATTATGTACCAAACTCAGTGGATACAGAGCAAGCAATAACTGAGCAGTACTAAATAAGAACTAGTAACCCCAAGCTTCTCCTGTGTTGGTCTTCAGGTTCCTTAAGACCACAATGGTTACCTTCTAGCTGACTCTTCACTCATTAACACATGGCTGATTTGTTTCTGGTATTATGTTGATGAGTACTGATTCACATGATCTAGTTGGCGTTTGTCATTTTCACAATCCTTCACTCCTCTGTCACGTTGTTTTTTTTATCTCAGTGGGTGAGAAAATCGATGATGAAGTAAACTGAATCGAAGGACAGGTTGATAGCAAAGAGATACCAAAAAAAATTCTTTGGAATAAAGAATCAATTTGGGTTAAAAAATTAGCAATGATTTAGTTTATATATGATTATTTGTATACAGCAGTTTCCCACTTACTGTTATAATCAAATGACACTGAGATCCTGTTTTGGAGTTTACAGCCTGTGTTAGTAGTAATTTAAATTTCTAAGTTCTGGTCTTCAGCGCTGGCACAAGGTCTTGGTCAAAAAGTTTCAGTAACTGATGTGGATTCCAGTAGCATTAATGTGGGGACTATTCAAATTGCCCAAACTTCCAGCTTATATTGGAGTTCTGTGTCCAGCAGGTATGTGATTGGCCAGGGTCTGAGGTTTGTTTGTCTTCCACTCTTAGCATCAACCTTTTTCTAAAATCCCATGTTTTCAACATATGTTTTCTAGAGTAATTTTCAAAATTTAAGATTTGTCTAGCCCTCAGTATTTACATTAGTTGGACTATTGTCCTCATCTTTGTCGCCATATTTGTCACAACGTTTCGGCCGTTGTACGCTCCGGCCTTCTTCAGGTGGTTGGAATTTTGAACTGAACCCTTTATTTCGATCACTGGGGTAGACTGTTCTAGTTCCACGTGCCATGTTTGATGGATGTCAGTTATCAGTTATCTCCTGCTAATTTTCCCCCTGAAAGTTCTCCACTGCCTTAACTAGGAATTGAACTCACCTTCTTTGGGTCTGTCACTGGATCTAACCAATGCCTTTATCCACTGTGCCATGTGTCCTTGAGGACACATGGCACAGTGAAACGTTGTGACAAATATGGCGACAAAGATGAGGACAATAGTCCGACTAATGTAAATACTGTACATAATACCTCATCTCAGAAATATAGACAGACTTTGTCTAGCCCTGTTTAAGAAAAATCAAGTCATCCCTTAACTCCAACTTGCTTCCTGCCTCATCTTGCTCCATATAAGCAGTGCTAATCTCTCTCTTCCTTCACTCACTTTCTAAACATTCAACTTCAGCCTAGTCCAAGGGTTGGTACACTGTCTCTGTGATGAATCTAAGCTTTTAGTATGCATAAGTGAAAAGGAGATTTCCAGTCATTAATTTTCCTTTTATTAGCTTGTCTCACACTGGTTGTTTTTAGATGAGGACGAGTCATTAATTATTCTTTATCACTTGTATCCAAAGGAATCTGAAATCATGTCAAAAATTTTGATGAATGTCACAGAAATTAAAATGAATGAACTCGTCCCCAATTTTAGGTGCTAATCTCTGTTTTTGGAGGCATATTTTTCTTTTGGGTAGCCAATTCAAACCAGATGTTTTTTTCTGGCTCTTTATCAAATACAATTTTAAATATTATTTTGGTGACCACTTGTGTTTTTTTTTTTTTTTTATTGACATCAACAACATGTTAACTTTTTTTCCAAGACTTGGCATCTTCAAGGATAGATTGTCTCTTATCAGTAGGAAGTAGGGAAAGATGTGTAGTCTTGGTTTTGCTCAATCTTATTGAATTCTGTCTAGTTAAATTTGCATTTGTTTGATTCTCTTTGGAACTGTCAAGATTTCATTTTATTATTTTGAAGCATAATTTTTTAACACATTTCATTTTTAATTTTCTTCTAAACTTTTCAATCCCCTTTCCTGCAAATTTCAATAATTATCATTCAGTTAATAGTCTCTTTCCTCTTCCTGTTTTCTTTCTTTCCCTTTTTCATATTGTTTGATTTAACCCCCTGTGCATCCATGCATTGTATATTTGCTCTCACATCTGGCCTTGTGCTTCTGCTAGAGATTCTTGATAAAATCCAAAGAACAATCTGCAATGTTAGTGGTCCTGACCTAGCATCTTAGACTCAGTAGAAACAGGGCTAGCAATAATTGAACAGTACTAAAGAGAACAAGACAAGGTATCTCTAAACATGAACAGTGGAATGAGAACACTCTACCCCCATAGATTGAATAAAGGGTCAAGTTCAAAATCCCCTGTAGGTTATCCTGATGAAGGTCAAAGGGAACAACAGCTAAAACATCACAATAATAACAATAAAAATGAGGACAATAGTTTACTTGTCCATAATGTAAACTGTCAATTACCTTTCTTACTATCATGAACGGACTGATCCATTCATGATAAGTAGTCCTGGGTAATTGTCTAGAAAGAATAGAAGATTGCAGTGACTTGTCTAGTTAAGAGTTGAATATTACTATCACAAGTGACTCTGTCGAGTTAAATGCTGTGTCTTGCCAGACCCCACATCACAAATAATAATGGACAATAGTTTTATTTTTTCTATTTTTCTGTTTCATCATAGTTATTCAATTTAATATATGAAACGTGTATACAAATGTGACAATTCTTATAGAATAAATGGAGTATTATTTATTAAAATAACAAAAAAAGAAGCTTTATACTAAATTAAAAACTTAATTTTCAACAGTTATACTGTAAATACACACATACTAATAATACTTTATACTGCTAAAAATAATCCCAATTTTTTTTCACAACAAAGTATGCTTCACTTATCTTGATTAATGCAATTACTTAGAATGATTACTTCACTAATTATGTAAATGTAAAAGCTGTCTTAGTTGTCAAAATTATGTGACAGATGTTTATAAAAAGCACTGTTGAATAATTATGGCTGTTTAAATAATGCACTATTATTTGCACTGAATGACGATAATTGTAAATAAAATGACACACTAAAATAAGTAACCAAGTCATCATTTTAAATTCTCTGAATATCAGTACCTTTTTTTTCTTCTTTTTTATTTTCTCCTTTTTTCTTTTCTTTTCTTTTTTCCTTCCTTTTTTCCTTTCTTTTTTTTTCTTTTTTTTTTCTTTTTTTTCCTTTTTTTTTTCCTATTTTTTTTTCCTTTTTTTTTCCTATTTTTTCCTTTTTTTTTTTTTTTTTTTCTTTTTTCTTTCTTTTCTTTTTTCTTTCTTTTCTTTTTTCTTTCTTTTCTTTTGTTCTTTCTTTTGTTCTTTCTTTTGTTCTTTTTTCTTTCTTTTCTTTTTTCTTTTCTTTTTTCTTTTCTTTTCTTTTTTCTTTTCTTTTTTCTTTTCTTTTCTTTTCTTTTCTTTTCTTTTTCTTTTCTTTTCTTTTCTTTTTTTTCTTTCTTTTCTTTTTCCTTTCTTTTCTTTTTTCTTTCTTTTCTTTTTTCTTTTCTTTGTTCTTTCTTTTCTTTTTTCTTTTCTTTTTTCTTTGTTCTTTCTTTTCTTTTTTCTTTGTTCTTTCTTTTCTTTTTTCTTTGTTCTTTCTTTTCTTTTTTTCTTTTCTTTTCTCCTTTTTCTTTTCTCTTTCTCTTCTTTTCTCCTTTTTCTTTTCTCTTTCTCTTCTTTTCTCTTTCTCTTCTTTTCTCTTTCTTTTCTTTCTTCTTTTTTTGTCTGTAATGCTTAACTTGTTTTTATATTTGAGTTATTTCCTTTGCATTGGTGATGCTAAGCGGTACTGTTCATTTTTTATGACTATACAAGACAGTTCCAGGATGTTTACAAATTTGTGAAGTGAAAAGACCAACTTTTAAAGAGCAAAGTACATTTGTAAGAGTTGGGAAAATATATTTAAAATGTTGTGATTTTTTTTTTATATATATATATATATACACACCATTGGTTAACTAAATATGATTTATTGTAGATAATTTTCAATTTAGAATTTTTTTACATATCCGTATAAAGTGTGTTTATTTTAACCCTTTATCTCGGGTGGCTCTCAGGCCTTGTACAAGGTAAACATTGATGTAGAAAAAAATTCTCTAACATTTTTGTCATCTTGTGTACTAGTCATAAATTCCTCATTTTTCAATATAATTAGTATTGGTTGTAACTCGTACAAATGTCATCTTCCAATTTTATCCTGATCCACAGCAACCAAATGTCACCCTCTATTCCTTCCCAGGTGTCCAAATGTCCAACACCCACAGCTGAGATGGATGCTTTGATCCAGACCTTACCTTATCCCACAGTGTGATCATAAAGCCAGCAAGGATCAAATCGTCGTTGGGTATCTCTGTATTGGGCTGGTCCAGGTGGAATGAAGACTCAAGAAAAAGAAATAACTTGACTAACAAAAAATAAATGTTTTTATATATGTTCCTTTGTACAATACTTGGTTAGTTTCGGCATTAAAATTTAGCAGTTCTCATGCGAACGGTTATCAACCCAACCCACTTAAGTTAGATGTGACACATTTGCTGACTTGGTTAAGTTTGGCACAAAGCTGATGTTGGAGGCTCTCTTCAGGCAGATAGTCACATGAGTTCGTTCTTGTCTGGTGTCTAGAACAAAATCTCTCCTGTCACTTTGACTCCTTCATATTTATTAACATTCACCCAAAGCTGGGTGCAGTATGGGATTTGAAAATTAATTATATTTCCAAATTGAGAGATTCCCCCACACACACACACACCTTGCAGGTTGTGGGTCGCAGGTATCGATCCACCTCAATAACTTCTTCCTTCTCTTATTGGTATCTGACACCAACACTTCCCAATGGGTGTGGGCAGCTCCTCCACTTTCCCTGGTGTTTCATCTGCACCTGCCACCTTTGCCACTCCTCGACCAATGACTCTCAACTGCTTGGTGGGGCTCAACTCTACGGTCATTATTCAAAAGAATTATCATTTCAAACTTGTCACTTATGCAAAATTCCACATACCAGCTTTTTGTTTTTGTTCAGAATTAGACACTGGCTATATGGCTCCCTGCCAGGGTCCTTCCTTAAGGAATTTTATTCCTGGATTTTTATTATAGACTAAATCTTACTCATTTCTCTTATTCATTTTTGTGACCAGTACTTTTAGGGATGGGTCATCAATCAGTTGTCAAAAGATCCCCACATTGGCCCTCTTGTGAAAATATCACTTTAAGTAATTCTCCTGGTTTCTTGTGAATTAAACATTTTAAAAAAAAAATCTTCAATCTTTCTCACAGTCTGTTCTTTGTTATATTCGTTTATCCTTTCTTTTCATTTACCATCACTCTCTCAGTATATCCATCATTCTATTCATTAAACTTTCTTTTCATTTACCAGCTTCTCTCAGTATAGCCTTCGTTCTATTCATTAACCCTTCTCTTCATCTACCAGTGCTAAATAGTATCACACAAAATGAAGAAGAGTACCGATCAAGACTATATTGATCTTATGTTCCTCCTTATACTGTCGTTAATTCTTTTTTCCTGTTATTGATAATAACCAGCAAATGTAAAAACATTTTTCCTTATTTTCTTCTTCAGCTGCTGAATTCTGCAAAAAGATGAAAGCTGAGAGACTCAAAATGCAAAATGAGTCAGAAGTGTTGAAATTAGAAATTGACAGCCTCAATTCTGATATAACGTAAGTTCTGTGTTTTACTCCCTGGCATAACCCTGTATCTTTCTTCCAGAACAATTACAGCCTTGTGTCTAGCTTTCAGGATATAGTATTTTATTTCCTGGCCTGATCCTCTGTTTTGCTTCCAAGATAATTACATTTTATTCCCTGGCCTAACCCTGTCTTTTGTTTCTAGGACAAATGCAGTGTTTTGGTTTTTGGCATGGCTCCATGTTTTGCTCCCAGTACCATTACAGTTTTACTCTCTGTTCCAGTCCAGTGTCTTGCTTCCAGGACAAATACAGTTTTACTCCCCAGCCTGGCCAAGTGCCTTGCTTCCAAGACAAATATATTATTATGTTTTGTTTTCAAGATAATGACAATGTTTTACTCCCTGGCATAACCCTGTAAAACACAGGCCAATTATACATGGCTTGATGTCTTGCTTGCAGTATAATTAGGTTTACTCCCTGGCCTGGTTCAGTGTCTTCATTCCTGGACAATTACAGTGCTTTACTCTCTGGTGTGGGCCCATGTTTTTTTTTTTTTCCAAGATCATTAGTATTTTACACCATGGTATAGTCCCTTGTCTTGCTCCCAGGACAGTTTGTTTTTTTTACTCCCTTTAAATTATATTTTGTATTGAGGTTAAGATCATCTGTTCAAGATAAGTGTAGGTTTCGCTTGATTTTAATTACAATTGTGTTTATAACTTAAATTTTTTTTTGTTTTGTTAATTCATCTAGTTACTGCCAGTCCCAATTACCAGCTACAGGTGCCCCAGTCACTCGACAAAGGGTTGACCAAATGAACAATATGTATGATGACTATGTGAGGATACGTACCAGTGAGAATTGGAAGTTTTATATTGTATCCTTTTTTGTCAGAAAACTTTGTTTTGATATAATTGTTTTGGCAAATGTGGACCTTCATGCCTGTAAATAAAAAAAATAAAAAAAAGTGTCAAAATGATGTTTTTTTTCCCTTGACACCACTATTATTTTAACTACCTTCACTCCTCAGCAATGTTTATTCTTTTAAAAAGTGATGATTAGAATTGTAATATAAACCTAAACATATGAAAATGAATTTATACATTTACTTTGTTCTTGAATTTACAACAAAAATATTAAACACTATTAGATTTTTTATTCGAACTGAACTTTACAAAATAGTAAATCAGTATTTCCTTATAGTTAGTTCACATATTTTAATAATTTAGTGAATGTTTATAAATTTATGAATAAAAAGTTGTTTTCATATTTATTTCTTTATAAATTGGTAAATGATAAATATTGCATTCCATTAGTTTTAATTAGTTTTTAGAATGTCGTAAATATAATTTTTTTATAAATAAACAATCTAATAGTGTTTAATATTTTTGTTGTAAATTCTCAAGAATTAAAAAAAAAAACGTATAAATTCACTTTCACATGTTTTATTACAATTCCAATCATCGCTTTTTAAAACAATAAACATTGCCGAAGATGGAAGCTAGTTAAAATTAAAACCATCCTTTTGATACTGTTATTTTGCAGACATGAAAGTTCAAGCTTGCCATTTTTTTCATTCATTTCCTCCTTTTCTCCTACTTTCCCTCCTCTTACCTCTTTTCCTTCCCCTCCTCCTCCTCTTTTTCTTCTACTTCTCTCCTCCTCCCTCTTTCTTTCTCCTTCTCCTGGCTCTTTTTATTCCTCCTACCCCTACCCTTTTCTCTTCATACTCCTTTTCTTGAACCTCTGCATTTTCCACTCCCTCTTACTTCTCCCCTCCTTTTTGTTAATAGTCATCTATGTCCACCATAGCTTTTTCCTTGACAAATGTTCAGTTCAGTTTTATTGTTCATCCACTTTTTAAATCTTTTAACAATATGGTATCCACAGCCAGCATGGAGGAAATGTGCCGCACTGTCATGAACTGGTTTGACCAATATTGTTCTTTGGTCACCCTCAGACCAAGTAAGTAATTTACATCTACAATTCAACAAAAAATATTTCTGTTTTTAACTGAATGTCCACTCACAATATTTAATGATTTTCATATAATGGACAAAATTAAAAGATAAACAAAAAAAGCTGGTCAATGTGGAATATAAATTATAAATTGCTTGCAATTTTAACATAAAAGTTATTTTTAAAAATCCCTTTACCGTAACAGACATTTTGAAGTATAAAGCAAATTGTTTTCTGTTAAAACTATTTTGTAAAAATAATTTCAAAGTATTTGGTGTCAACAAAAAGTGTGTTTGATTTTTTTGATTTTTTTTTTGTTGTGAAATTAAGGCACAATTTTTAAATGGAAGAAAGGATTATCCTCTCATTTGCATTTCACCCATTATTAGTATTATTATTTCCATGATATAATAACAGCTTATTTTATGGATTTTTATGCCGCTAAGACATACACAAAATTATATATATATTTATTTTGTTCTATGCTGAGAAACTATAACACATGTCTACATAACAAGTGGTGTGAAAAGGAAACAAAAAGGATGAGTCTTACTTTGTTATAATTCCCAATGGGAGTGGAGCTGCTGGAGATTCTTTTGTGTTTCTGGGGAAGCCATGTTTAGGATTTCAGTAGGTTATTATCTATGTTACCAGCAAGGCATGGGTTTTCCCAAATTGAGGACTGTGAGCTGTAGATAGATTCTGTATCTGGTGAATATATATTTCCATAGGAAAATTGTGTCAAGAACTTGTAAGCTGCTGGGGAAGGCAGATTTAGCCTCAGCCCATGCCAAGGAGACTAGGCAAAGAAAAAAAAACTAACTGCTCAGTCTGGAAGGTGACTGAAGGACTGACCACTGTTCTCCCTCTATTATCTCACTACAAAAGTGAGATAATTGCCTTTTGTATCCCTACAATTAATTACCGTTTCATTTTAATATCTTCTGCCATATTGTGGGCAGATCCATTATTCTCTGCCCAAAGAATTTCCTGTCTTTATTGGCAAAAATTCTTTCAGGTGAATTTTTTACACCCTCTTCAGAGTTGAAGATCTGTCCATCCAATGAAATAAGAAGATGGAAATCTGAAGGTGCAAGGATGGGCAAATATGGAGGGTGTGGCAAAACCTCCCAGCCAAAAGAAGTGTGTGTGGTCTGGTATTGTCATGATGAAAGATAATGCCCTAATGATTAACAAGTGCTGGACACTTCTGGTGGATTACTGCATTTAATTTGGCCAACTGGCCACAGTGCTTATCTGAATTGATGGTCAGGTCCATGAGAAGAAGCTTGTCAAAAAAACAACACCCTTCCAATCCCACTAAACTGAAAGCATAACCCTTGGGTAAAGCCTTGCTTTGGAAATTGTTTTTCGTGGTATACCATGCTTCCCCCATCATCATTTGTGTTTCACATTGTTATAGATGATCATTTTTTGCCCCTGTCACCATTCCTTTAAAAAAAAAAAAAAATAACGGATCAATTTCTTTACGTTTCTGTAATGAATTGTAGATGGAAATCTGTTGGGCAAGGTCAGCCTCATTCAATTGATGTAGGACCCAAACAAACCTGCTGATGCTAATGAAAATCTGTAGTCACCCTGATTATATAACAAGGGTTGGTGTCGACTCTGTCATTTTGTCACTGTTAAACTCATGTTAATCTCAATTGGCCAGAGCAGGGTGCATCTTGAACAGAAAAATTTCCAAAGTTTGAAATTTAGTGTCGATAAAAACCAAACAAACTTTTTGGCAAGCCTAATATTTTGATTTTTAATTTTGATTTTTTTTTTTTTTTTTTTATCTTTAAATGGTCCTACTTTTCATCTTTAAATTATCCGACTTCTGAAAGATTTTAAGTGTTGGTGATTGGGTTCTCCTCTATCTTAGATTTTAAAGTATCATAACTGGCAAATGGTCATGGTCTTCTGGACTTTATTTCAAAGAACAAGTCACCACTGTTGAATCATTTAAACCAATTTTTTAGGCACTAGTCAGATATTGTTTCATTTCATTCCACTTTCTAAATTCTGTGAACAGCTTCTGCAACTTTGAGGCTCAGTTTAAAATAGCATCTCAAATAATTAGCATCTCAATTTTATCTGACATTATAATATAAACAAAAATTCATACAAAAAGTGAATTAGTAAAGTTAATGATATAAAATGGCAAAATCCCTTTGCTAACTAAAGTTTAAAGATGCATTAACCTAATGAATGTTAAGATCTTTGTTTTTAAAATTATAAATTGTATTAGGTACTTGCATATTTAAGGAAGACCTAATACAGTTTATAATTTTAAAAAAACAAGGATCATAACATTCATCAAGTGATTAGTGGGTCAATGCATCTTTAAAATTTAGTTAGTGAAGGGATTTCGCCATTTTATATCATTAACTTTTATTATTAGTTTTTGTATGAATGATTCATTATAATATATATATATATATATATATATATATATATATATATACATACACATATATATATAACATCATCCACAGACAGACTGTTTTGCTGTTTACAGCTCATCAGTGTGGCTAGACATCTGGTTGCCTCTAGCTAGGATCGAAACCCGACTGAATTTGTGTCAGTCGGAGCTTCTAACCACTAAGCCGTCGGCGCACGGTAGGGATGAAAGTGGATTTTAGCGTATTTTATTTTTAGAAACATGCCCAGTGACTCAATTCGCTTTCGCGAAGAGTCTCGCTATATATCTATAATAGTCACTGTTTACGAACCCACACCTCCTCCCCAGAGTGCTCAACTGAAATTAATATTTCAGGAGCAGATATAACGTCATCCACAAACAGACTGTTTCGCTGTTTATTTACAGCTCATCAGTGTGGCTAGACATCTGGTTGCCTCTAGCTAGGATCGAAACCCTATATATATATATATATATAAAATGTGTGTGTTGTAGCAGGAAATGAAAGACAAAAATTAATGGGAAAAATGAAAAATAGTATCAAAATTGATTCAGAAAAAGAAAATCACTAAAAGTAATAATTTCAAACTTAACACTGGCTCAATTTAAAATGGGCAAAGTTGATGCAGGAGTCTTGCCCAAAAGTGATAAGAGGCAAGAGCTATTTCGGAACACTATGAAAAGTAGGAGTTCCAGATCCCACTAGACGACTGGGCATAGGTGTGAAGATTGGGGCCTTCCTGCTATTTTTTTTTCTTCTTCTCTTTCCTTTATTTTTTTTTTTTTTTTCTCAGGTTTTATATTTTTACAAGTGAAAATGCGTCCAAATATCTACTCTTTGGGGAAACATTCAGATAACTCATGGTCAGGTTACCACGCAGGAGGAAAACTTCCATTAAATGTAGAGACATTGAGAACTGATATTAAATTAATATGCAAATAATTAGACCAGATATGAGGGTGTATGTATGTATATGTGTGTGTATGTAATATATATGTGTGTGTATATATATATATATATATATATATATATATATATATATGAAGAAAAATTTGGAATATATATATATGTGTAAGCAAATGTAAATGGATATAGATCCGACAGAATGAAGAAAAATTTGGAATATATATATATATATATGTAAGCAAATGTAAATGGATATAGATCCGACAGAATGAAGAAAAATTTGGAAAAAATAAAAAAATCCTTAAATGCAATTATGTTGTTTAAAATGAATGAAATGTTGATGTCTGACGTTTCGGTTTAATAAACCTTCTTCAGGACAATATTCATTAAAATACAATTCAGTTCAATTTGACAAAGACGATGGACATAAAAAAACATTCATTTTAAACAACATAATTGCATTTAAGGATTTTTGTTTGTTTTTTTTCCAAATTTTTCTTCATTCTGTCGGATCTATATCCATTTACATTTGCTTACATATATATATATATATAGGGCAGTGCAAAAGTAAGTAAGCACCTAAGATAATATTTGAAATAATTCTCTTTTTTTCAGATAATCAACAAATCTCAATTAAACTGTATATTCATTAAGTGGGGTTCTCCAATGTTCATTGACCAATGTCGGAATCAATGTGCGTACATCTTCAGTGCAACAAAATCTGAACAATGCTGATCTTCATTTTAGAATGCCTAGAAGAAAGCCACTGCTTACAAAGTGACACAAACATGCTCAACTATGCCAAAGTTCATATTAATAAGCTAGAAACATTCTGACAAAAGGTTTTATGGTCAGATAAGACCAAACTAGAGTTTTTGGGGAGGAATAATAGGTAGTATGTCTGGCAAGAGCTTAATAATTCTTTTGAAAAGAAGAATTTGATACCAACCATTAAACATAGCAGTGACAGCATTATGATTTGGGGTACTTTACTGCAGCTGGAACAGGCAAAATAGTTTGCATTGACAGTGGATTCTTCAAGATACCAAGCAATTTTGATCAAAAGTGTCTTGTCCTCGGTTTAAAAGTTGGGTTTTGGGTCAGGGTTGAAACTTCAAAGAGGACAATGATCTGAAGCATCAAAGCAAATCTACAAAAGAACGGGTTTGTAAAAAAAGAAATTTGATGTATTAGAACCTCATCAAAGTCCTGATATAAACCCAATTGAAAATCTGTGATTCAAGTGAAAGAAGGCAATGCATGCAAGAAACCCATTTAAAATCAAGCAATTTAGGGAGTTTTTCCAGGAATAGTCAAAAATTGCCACTCACTATTGCCAGAAACTTCTTAAAAATTATATAAAATGACTGGTTGACATTGTAAACTCAAAAGGAGTAGTCACCAAATATTAAGTGTAAGGATTCACTTTCTTTTGCACTGCTTAATTTTTCATTTTTAATTAATATTTTAATTCCAGTTTGATAAAAAGTTTTGAAAGTGGTTGTAATTGATTTAATAAAGGTTTTTCTTAATGAATATATAGTTAAGATTTGTTGATCATCTGGTAAAAAGAGGCAATTTTAAAAAAAATATTATCTCAGGGGTTCACTTACTTTTGCACAGCACTGTGTGTATGTATGTATATATATGTGTGTGTGTGTGTGCGCGCGCACACACACACACGTTGGAGCAAGGAATAAAACACAAAAATTAAGGGGGGGGAGGTTATCCTCTGTGCTAAACTGACCATGAGTTATATGAATACTTTCCCAAGGATTAGATATTCAGACACATTTTAATTTGTAAAATTATAAAAAAAGGCAAAAAAATAAAAATGACAGGAGGTTGCAATGGTGTCTTCACATCTATGCCTACCCCCACTAATGGGGTCTGAAAACTCTACTCTAGCACGACTTAGAATTTCATGCACCACACAGTCCTCAGTTACAGGTGAGGAAATAAATAAATATATATATATATATATATATATATAATCCAAGTACTTAGTTTTCACCATTAGGTTGAAAGGGGGAGTAAACCAAACATCTTAGTTTTAATATATATATATATATATATATATATATATATATATATATATATATTTATTAAATGTTATTTGAGTGTATATCCATATTTGAGTAGCTGCTTTGTTTATTTATTAAACCATATATTTATTTATTTTTCTCTACTGGCCTGAATGTTCGAGAAATCTTATTTAAATAAAAATCCATTACTTCAGAAATTGCTTTGTTTACATTAGGATCTGAAACTAAGATCTGTATATTTCAAAAGTGTAGGAAAGATTTGTGTTCAAAGGCACTATTCAACTTTGCTTGATCATCGAACTTCATGGCCGATAGGCTCTAAAGCATGTTGGTTCTAACAATGATTACTTTTTTTTCTATTTTTACCATTATATTTTTTCTTTTTCATGCAGCGGTGTCTAATGCTCTTCGAGAGGTGTGCACATCGACAGCTATCCTCACAGAACCTGAATTATTGCCAGAGCAAGCAGCCACAGCAGCTGGACTTCCACGGCGACGACATTCAATATCTGGAGAGAAAGATCTTTCCTAGCATTGATAACAGTTGAAAAAAATAAGGCAAAATTTAAAAAGAAAAAAAAAAAAAAAAAAAGTTTTCTTATTTCACTGTCGTTAAAAAGATTTGCTGAAATAACCACTATGACCTCTGACACAAGCACCTATATCACCATTCCCCTGCTGCTGACTGTCCACACCCTACGTTTCTTTTCCTTTCTTTTTCTTTGTTTTTCTTTGTTTTTCTTTTTTTTTCTTTCTTTTTTTTTTTCTTTCTTTTTTTTCTTTCTTTCTTTCTTTTCTTTCTTTTCTTTCTTTCTTTTTTTTCTTTCTTTCTTTTCTTTCTTTTTTTCTTTCTTTTTTTTCTTTTTCTCTTTCTTCCTTTCTCTTTCTTCTTTCTCCTTTCTTCTTCCTTTCTTTTTTTTTTTTTTTTCAAACCTACAGATGGTTGGTCAATTAGCATTAGATAAGTTTTTATCTCTAAACAGACACACACTCTCAAACACACAACTATACACACCACTGCTGATTGTAAAAAATCTTTAATTTCCTTTTTTTTTTATTTTTCACAAAAGTTGACTTAGGATTGAGGGCATTGACATGACAATAGTAACTTTATGATGTGTCTTTGCTGATTTGCCTTGTTATGAAGGCACAGTCATTCCTGCCCACTCTTTTCTTGTTTTTTTTTTTATTATGTTAATTTAATTTGAATTTTTTTTTTTTTTTTTAAAAAGAGATTAAAATAAGTCAACTAAACAGAAAAAAAAAAAATGACAAAAAAAATAAACCTTTTCCCCACCCCCATCCTGGATCTTATATGTTTCATATTGGTAATTATTTCACATCCAAATAAAAATTGTGGTGCTGTTGAAGAAAAAAAAATTTTTTGTTTGCTTGTTTATTTTTAATATTAGCATCTTTTGAATGGCTGATTTTTCTGGGGTCATAAATTTGTTCCCTTGAGATGTGCCTTTAACATTCTCTTTTCTTTTTTTTTCTCACATGGGATACAAACATTTTCTAACAAAGTATTTATAAATAATCTATATCTTTTTATTATTTAATTACTAATCTTACTCCATATTATTGTTGCTTATAATACCAATGCTCTAAGTCAATACACACTTCATTATTACTAATATTTTATGACGAGTTTTATTCCATATTAATGTTGCTTTTCATCCCAACACACTGGGCCAGTACACTCTTTATTATTACTAATATTACAGGTTTTATTCCATCTTATTATTGTTGCTTTTCATCTCAGAACTGTAAATACACTCTTTGCCCATTATAGAAAACAACATGAAGTTGAATTATTTACATTATTTGGACTATTGTCCTCATCTTTGTCACCATATTTATTACAACGTTTTGGCCGTTGTACGCTCTGGCCTTCTTCAGGTGGTTGGAATGTCGAACTTAACCCTCAAGGAGACATGGCACACTGGATAAAGGCGTTAGTTAGATCCAGTGACAGGACCCAAAGAGTATGAGTTCAATATCCGTTTAAGTCAGGAGAAAACTTTCAGAGGGAAATAAACATGATATAACTGATAATTGACATCCATTAAACATGGCATGTGGAACTTGAACAGTCTACCCCAGTGAGCGAAATAAATGGTTCAGTTTGACATTCCAACCACTTGAAGAAGGCCGGAGTGTCTTTGCTGATTTGCCTTGTTATGAAGGTTTGTTTTTTTTTTTTTATTATGTTAATTTTATTTGAATTTTTTTTTTAAAAAAAAAAGAGATTAAAATAAGTCAACTAAACAGAAAAAAAAATGACAAAAAAATACCGTTTCCCCACCCCTATCCTCGATTTTATCTGTTTCATATTGGTAATTATTTCACATCCAAATAAAAATTGTGGTGCTGTTGAAGAAAAAAACAATAGCCGAAACGGTGTAATAAATATGGCAACAAAGATGAGGACAATAGTCTGAATAATGTAAATAGTATACATAATACCTTATCTCAGAAATATAGACAGATACGGATGAAGTTAAATATAAAGTCACTTTAAAGAAGACTTGAGGTGCAAGCTTTAGTCTCATCAAAAATTGTCTTCATTTCTGAATTCACATTGTTTACTTGACCTGTTGAAGAGATGTCAACCTTTTGTCATGATAAAAAGCAACAATTAAATAACTCGTAATAGAGTAATTATAATAATATACTATTGTGATGAAAAGCAACAATAATAAGATACAGAGGAACCTTGGTTCTCAAACATCTTGCATGTTGAACAACTCGGTTTTCGAACAGAAAATCTGAGATGAAAATGTCTTGGTTATCAAACAAAATTTTGGTTCTTGAACAACATTGCCAAACTGAGTTAACCCAAAGAGAATCATTTCTGAGTCGACCGCCATGTTGTATATATTCGTGTGTTGTGCTGTGCTTTTCTTTTCCAATTTTATTGTACCGTGACTCTTTTTCTCTACATTGATTTCTATTGGAAAAATAATTTCGGTTTACAAACATTTCAGGTTACAAACGGTCTTCAGGAACGAATTATTTTTGTGAAGCAAGGTTCCACTGTAAATTGAAACTAGTCATACCTTTTATTGTATTTTTATTACTTTTGGAACTGCTTACTAAAAATAACAACCAATTATTTCTTTAATTTTTTTCTCTGTAATGTTTCTTATTTGTAAAGTCTAGAGATTATATCATGAATATTATTTATAATTAATTGGAAAATACATTTTCTGCTTTATATTTAAATTATTCACTTTGCTAGAAAAGAAAAATTACAATAAGTTCTCTTTACAAAAAACTCTGTTATGTATCCTTGTACAACTTATGAATATTAATTGAGCCTATCCAGAGATTTTAAATATTTAACTTATCAATACTCATTTTAAAATGAGCCATTGATTATAGGTTTTTTAAAAAAAAAATTATGATAATCAAACATTGCTTTTTAAAAGAAAATCCATTATTAATAGTAGGTTTCTACTTTTAAAAAAATGGTATGAATTATAGGTTTCATAAAGAAAAATAATTCCATTATTAAAAGACAATAAATCTATAAATTCTAGGTTTCTAAAAAAAAGATTCTATTATAAATTATAGCTTTGAATTTTAAAAAAACAGTATGAATTGTTGGGTTCTAAAGATAAAATAAAATTCAATAGAAAAAAAAATAAAACAAAATCTATGACTTACAGTTAAAAAAAAAAGAAAAGATAAATTCTATATTAAATAGGCTTATATTTTTAATAAATGTTATGAATTATAGTTTAATATTTTTAAATCCATTATATTAAAAAAAAATGTCCATTATTATAGGTTTCTATTTATAAAATAATCCATCATTATGGATTTTTATTTAAAACAAAAAGCATTATTGTAGATTTCTATTTAAAAGCAAAAAACATTCATTATTATATGCTTCTATTAAAAAAACAAAAGAATCTGTTATTATATGTTTCTATTTAAAAAAAAAACATTCATTATTATATTAAAAAAATTCCATCATTCTAGGTTTCTATTAAAAAAAACCATTATTATAGATTTCTATTAAAAAAACCCATTATTATAGATTTCTATTAAAAAAAAACCATTATTATAGATTTCTATTAAAAAAAAACCATTATTATAGATTTCTATTAAAAAAAAACCATTATTATAGATTTCTATTAAAAAAAACCATTATTATAGATTTCTATTAAAAAAAACCCATTATTATAGATTTCTATTAAAAAAAAACATTATTATAGATTTCTATTTAAAAAAAAAATATTCATTGTTCTAGGTTTCTATTAAAAAAAGTACCCATTATTAAAAGTTATAAATGTATGAATTATAGCTTTCTAAAAATAAATAAATAAAATCTAATATTAATGAGGATTCTATTTAAAATGAAAAATAAATTGGTATGAATTATTAAAAAAATATCCTGCATTAAGTTTTAACTTATAGTAGAAAGCTCACTATTCCAAAAATGGGAGAATAGACATTAATGTACTAGAGTACTAAACTTAATTCTTTGGACATTGGCTTGTTGAATTTGTATCGAATAATGTGCTGACACAAGGTAAAAACAATATAATTTTTTTTATTATGGCAAGTAAAATTTTAAATTCCAGGTTATTTCTTTGATAAAAATCAATTGGACTTTAATTAAACTTGACCATAGGTTATCATATTAAATATAAATATTTGATTCAACCTCTTAAGAATGAGCAAGAAAGTTGCTGACACACAGATGTCGCAATATACAAGTGCTTAAATATTGTTCATATTTAATTTTTGTGCAGGTAGGAATAAATACGTTCGCCTATCATCTGGTTCACACTCCTCCCCAGTCTTTTTAACTGGGGTAAAAGTTTAGCCCTTGTTTCTTCTTTAGGATTATGTTTCTAGTTCCTTCTAAAGTCTTTTCATTCTCTTTCACCCACAATAGTCCCTTGCATCTTAGTGGCATTATCATCTTGCTTGGGGTGAATAGACGAGTAGAGGTTTATCCCTTGTTTCCTGTTTAGGATTGGGTTTCTGGTTCCTTCTAAAGTCTTCTCATTCCCTTTCATTCCCAGTAGTCCCTTGCATCTTAGTGGCATTATCACCTTGCTTGGGGTGAATAGAGGAGTAGAGGTTTATCCCTTGTTTCCTATTTAGGATTGGGTTTCCAGTTCCTTTGAAAGTCTTTTTCATTCTCTTTCACTCCCTGTAGCCCCTTGCATCTTAGTGGCATTATCACCTTGGAGTTAAAAAAAAAATAAAAAATAAAAAAAATAAAAAAATATAAGATAGTGGAGTTGTTGAGCAAAATTCAAATTCCAGGCTAGTCTGTTGCATTCACTTTCACACTAATGCCCTTGGGAATGGCATGAAGCCAACTCTTCTCTATCTCCAACAACAATGGGTTAAATAGCAGAATAGACATAACTCTCTAACCTTGGGGGGCAGCCAGCCTAAGAGAAGGAAAACACCGAATTCCAAACAGTAGAGAAAGCAATAGGAAACCATTCCACTCACTTTCCCAAAAATGCATAGCGATTCACAAATAAAGTAAAGAATTAAAAATATGCCAATTAAAATTTTGGCTGTGTTGGTAGTGTAACAGATATTGGCACTAAAAGTGAAATTGGCAAAGCAAGCTCAAATTTTGTGCTAGTCTGTTGCATTCACTTTCACACTTATACTCGCTGGAAAGGTATAAATCCATAACTTCTACCCCAGCTATGGTTTACATAAAAGGATATATTGGGATTTATGACTTTGAGTGGGAACCAGTCTAAGAGAAATAATTTCAAACCATGGAGAAGGCAAGATCATTCCATTGTCTTTTGCATGGCAATTTTCTAATCACTCCTACAGAAGATAGAAAGGAAAGCAAGATGAAAGGACTAAGCATCAATTGTAAGAAGGCAGAATGTATGGTTGTCAGCAAAAGGAACAGTCTAACATGCGAACTATGAAATGGAGATACCAAAATCAAGTAAGTACAAAAATTTAA